GGCCACATACATACATACACAGACTATCTTAAGAGTTTAAGAGAGTGATATTTAGATGATCACATGCTATGTATTAGTAATAAGTTTTTTGAGTTTTTTGTTTTTTTCTATGGCACATCTGGGATTGAAACTTGCAAACTTCCCTGGAGAGCCACTGAGCTTTACTGCTTGAACATTTAAACTTGTAAACAGAAGATATAATACTGTTTTTTTTACCAGTTGGTTATGAGGGTTGGGAGGCATTGGGAGTGAAGAGGTACCACAGCCTAGTAAATCCAGTGGAGATCCGCACAGGAAATTACAGGACGTCTTGCCGTCTCCTAAGTTGTTCCAAACAAGAGCAGCGGGGCAGCGGATGGTGATGATCTGGAGTGTGGCACACAACGTAAGGATGATGCTGCGGTGTTCAAGGCACGAAACGTATTCAGTGAAGAGCACGGACAAAGGATTAGACAGTGGATTGGGATTAGAGGTTCTGCAAAAGAAAATAAAGAAGCAAATAGATATGGGGTACATTCCATCAACTACAATGCTAATATCCTTTAATATATATATATATATATATATATATATATATATAAAAAAAAAAAAAAAAAATCAAACTCCGACATCCAATTGACATTTATAATAAAGTCCTGTAATGATGACATTGTGGCCATTGTATTTGTTTTAATATCCTGTGTCCCAAGCATGGAGCTATATAGATGTTCTTTGAATGGATCACATGATTGACATTAGTAAGCAAGTTGGAGATCCTTATAGTAGCAGTTTGGCTTGGTTTGGTTTATGGCATATCAACTTCAATGGGTCATTTAATGCTGACAACTTTTTTTTTTCCTGGTAATATTTTTGTTTTGTCAAAAATCTATTTCCGTTAATATTTTTTTCCTCAAAAACATATAGCTGGTAATAGTTTTTTTTCTTCAAAAATTTATTTCTGATAATAATTTTTTTATAAAGTATTTCTGGCATTAAAACCTATTATTACACTATTATAATGCTTTTTACCTCAGTTTTGGGGTTAACTATTTGCCCATAGCCGAGACCCTAACAGGTGCTACCATACCAGGTCAGGTTGGACCTGGGAACACCAGCAATTAAGAGGTGGTTCCATGCTCCTCAAAGATTCCTGATCAAAGACCTTGCTGCCAGATGTAGTTTATCATCATACCCAGGATGCCATAGTAGCAGGCAAGGAAATAGTTGTAGTGATAACTATATTGTTATGTACCAAGTGCTGGTACAATCATTTCCCTTCAATAAACTCCACACTAATACCCTTGGAAAAGGTATGAATAGGAATAAATTATGTAACTAACACTGAAGAGGATCTTGATTAAAAAGAATTCACATTTAATAAAATTGTAAATTAGTACAGTACTTTAAGAACAAAAAAAAAAACAAAAAAAAAACAGTCATTCCTTAGAGCTTTGGTGGCTTCTAAGCTTTTCTGCAAATAGAGGAAAGCATTTTATACAGACATTACAAATAGTGTTGACGTAAGTGTCTTTCTTAAATAGGGTAGTTGAAATTTGTTTGACTGAAAGCTTTCCATTGGCCAAGTGGTCAAGAGCACACTGTGCCTGGTGGCATTTTCCCCTATAAGGGGGGGGGATGTAGGTTCAAACCTGGTTGGAATATACGTTTTATTTATTATGATTCTTAAATGCACTGGCTGGTACATGTAAATTTACACCGTTTTAGAAAAACGGTATGCCTACTCAAATATATATATATATATATACCCACTAAATATAATGTTTAAGTAGTACTAACAGTAGTAGTAGTTATATATATATATATATATATATATATATATATATATATATATATATATGTAACTATACTCGTTTCAGAAAAAAAAAAAAAAAAAAAAAAAAAAAAAATCGCACAGATACAGGTTTAAAGCCCAAAGAAAAAACCCTGACACGAGTAAACAACTAACTAAAAGAGCTCAATACAACCGGAGAGCAGACCTAGATAAACCTAGTGAGCCAGACAAACCTACCCAGGTTTCACCTAAACGGATAGTCAGGGAAAGCTGGCTAAAGAGGCAAAAGAGAAACAGCATATTTGTAGGCGATAATCAAATTTTGATTATCGCCTATAAATATGCTGTGAAACCTGGGTAGGTTTGTCTGGCTCACTAGGTTTTTATATATATATATATATATATATACACACACACACACACACACAAATATTATTTATTAACAATTATAACAAAAATATGTGGTAAACCACTACATAAATGCAATCATGTTTCAACACTGTGCGTGCCTCCTCAGGCAGTGTTTTTGTTATAATTGTTAATAATTATTATTATTATTATTCTCTAGTCTATATTGAGCACTTTCTCAAAATATAATGCCTGGACATTGGTACTAACCTTCCTTACACTTGGATATATAATTACTACAATTATAATATTCATCACTTAGCTGATTGATGCTACCTAGAGTTTCATAGAATGACTGTCCAGTAATCGCTCCACCTATTTGTCAGGGGATGTCAGCAATTGACTGTTTATGTCCTTGTTTTTCTTTTATATTGAAGTTAAAAATAATTTATGCACTTTTACTTGACGCAAGGTTGATTTTTTTCCCTCTTCTTTCAGTGTGTGTGTGTGTATATATATATATATATATATATATATATATATATATATATATATACACACACACACACACAACAATACTTAGATATTATTCTTTTCCATGACAAAGTTTCATGTGGATGTCTAGATGGTTATGCAGCTGTCTCACAATCTTCAGGTGGGACAAGTGACAAGATACTCAATTCCATATTCTGGAATATAAAAGTGATTTTCTAAGCGTAGCTTAGATGTGGCACAAGGCCGAAAGTATGGAGCACCCAGTGAGGAATATAAATATAAAAGTGAGTATCTTGTATCTATTCTGGAATATGGAATTGAGTATCTCATGCCATGTTCTACCTGAAGATTGTGAGACAGCCACGTAACTATCTTGGTGTCCTCATGAAGTCATGGAAATCAGATTTTTTCTTATATTTATTATATTTGGCTCTGTTTGTTTTTATGTTTTCTATCGAACACTGTTCTTGTAGTGCCCTTGTTTGTTTTTATTACACAATATATGCCTGTGTTTAATGCACCGACATTATATGTGGCTTGTAGGAAGAAGCGCCAGTGCCATTTTGATTTGCATTAATGTTTTGTCAGTGTTTAGTGAGAGACTAAAAAAAAAAAAAAAAAAAAAAAAAAAAAAGAAGAAAAAACTAATTACTAAAAAATTTATTTAAATCTTAATTATCTATATTGAGAGAGAATTATTAATAAGTGGTTTAGGTGAAATGCTTTACTCTTTTTCTGACGGGTTATAAAAAATGAGTGACAAAAGTCAATTTCTTGTAAGTGGTGATTCTTTTACCACAAAGTAAAAGTAACTGAATGTTGTCGGACACAAGAGTACTCAAGAGGGGGAGGAAAAAGTAAACTTACCCATTTCCATTTGTCATCATGGGAGACTCTGTACGAGGAGAGCAAATCCCAGATTCTGTTGTGTATTGTGATATTCGTTTGGCACAAAAGTAGGATAACTTCCGTGACAAATAAACAGACATTGCCACTTCATCCAAATACTAGAAGGAAAAAAAAAAAAAAAATATCTGTTTTTAAAATCTCAGTGAGGAAAAGTGATGCTGACTTAGATTTGTATAAGGAAAAATTTCAAAGCATAACAATTGTCAAAAGCTAAATATATAATAAATAAATAAATTTCATACTGAATTCTTTACTGAACTTTTTATTTAATGTGTAAAACAAATCTTAAAATTAGAAAATTTTTAAAAAAATAAATTTGATCAATTTTTGAAACATGTACATCAAAAAAAAAAAAAAAAAAAAAAAAAAAAAAATTCCCTCATGAATCATTTTTATTCTATTATCAAAATGTCTCGGTAGTTGTGCTCTACAGTCTTCTTCAAGTGTCTGTCAATTTGTTAACATTATTCAGAAAATTTTAAGCTAAATGTTTTATTCAATCTACAGGTTGTAGATTGTTCTCTTTTTGCATGTCTAGGGATATACCTTTTTTTTTCTTCTTTTTTTTCTTTTTTAAAATTCTGCTCAGTTGCTTACCCTGTATTTCTGCTGACTAAATCTGTACTACCTGGACCAAGGATTGAACTCACAATTACTATATCACCAAATTCACGAATCAATGCTTTAATCCACTAGGCTGATGTGCCTCATGTGATCTTCATGACTTGTCAAATTCTTTGTATACTTCAACAATATTTTGGCTAGTCTACTTTGCAGGCTGAATGAGGCAAATTTCTTATCTCCCAGACTTTAGATGGAGATGGAATTATGACGGAAAAATTTTTATTTCATCTACTGTACATGCTCACGTATAGTGCAAGTATTTATGATCAGTATTTTTTTATGCAAAAATTAAAAAGTTAAAAAAATCATGCATTTTCTGTGACCAGTTACACTATACACGAGTAAATTTTTTCTTTACGAGTTAAAATTCAGGGGTCGCACTATACATGAAGTTGGCTTATATATGAGTATATATGGTATTTGATAAAGTTGTTCCAATGCTAAAGTAGCCTTTTTAGGAAATGAACTGCAAATTTTGTCAACTTAAATGATTCATTTTTTTAATGCTGTGTATAAATGATTCAAACAATAAAAATGACTTGGATAAAATCCGAGTTCTGCCATTGTGTCTTTGTTTTTATAATTCAGCAATTTGTTTTCATTCAGACACAAGTCACAAATATCTCTGCCTCTCTATATCTATCACTTTCAATATCTCCATCTATATCCTTCTCTCTATAGCTAACTATCTCACTGCATATCTCTCTCTCTCTCTTATATATATATATATATATATATATATATATACACACACAATAGATTGTGTATATTTAGGCAGCAATTTTTCATTGATGAATGTTTCATTAAATATAGACAAGTTTTGATAGATAAATAGTCAAGAAAAATCCAACACTTGCAGCCTGACAATTGTGCCTAGCATGAAACAACCTGTCACCTCTGAGTGTTGACTTCAGCGTTTACTTTTATATTTACATACGCTGTATCTCTGATACTGAGCACTTTATCCCATAAATATAGCACACCTTAAAACTATATATATATATGTGTGTGTGTGTGTGTGTGTGTGTGTGTGTGTGTGTCTCTAGCTCTCTTATTGTTATCTTATGTCTTCTTAATTATTGTTTTATTAATTTATACTTCTCTGATATTCTCTAACACTCAGTAACTGCTCATGTCTTAGTAGCTTTATTGCTTTGCTTGGGGTGAAATGATTAAAAAAAAGCCTACATCCCATTATCTTTTAAGGATTTTATAAAAATTCTATATTTAAAGATACACAGTACAGAAGAAACAAAATTACTTACGTAGTAAATCTGAGAAAGCAGAAGTTTGAGCACAGAATCATCATTAGGTCGTATTTTCTCAATGTGTTCAAGCAACCAGGTTAGAAACTCATGACGATCAATTAATCCTTCCTGAAAGCAAAAACAAGGGAGCAGACATGCAGTCTTGTTAAATCAGTTGTACTTCAGAAGGGGAGAGGGAGAAGAGTAAAGGGAGAGCAGGAAAAGGAGGGAGAGAGGGAGGGCAGGAAAAGGAGAGAGAGGGAGTGTAAAAGAGGGAGTAAAATGTGGAGAAAAGGTGTCCGAGTAGATTCTATTGTAAATAAATGAAAAACAACAAAGTAAAAATCAAATTGTCAAAAGAAAACAAAAGTAAACAAGCTGAAGAAATAAAATGAAAAAAGTTTTACAAAACGGAAAAAAAAAACAAGTTTTCAAAGACAAAAGAAAGCAAATGAAGTAAAATGAAAAAAAAAAAAAAAAAGAAGGTTTTAAAGACAGATGATGAGTGTCCTACCTCATATAAATGTCTGGCAAGGCGACAACAAAATTGCCAATATCTGACAGCATTTTCAAAGTCGGTTGGGGAATGTGATTGATTTGTTGAGCCGAGGAGGAAGTTGGATTGTATGCCTTGATTGTTCAGATTGTGATAATGTTCTTGGATTTTCTGAAGTTGTTCTTTCATGTATTTTGTCAGAGCTTGGCTCCAATCTTAAAAGCAAAAAACAAAGATTGTTAGTTCAACTAAAAAATCACTTTTGAAAATTGGTTTCTGCTGTTGATTAACAGAAGCTGGTTGAATTAAAAGGAATGCATCAATCAGACTGTGGATTTTATTTTTTTGGGTTTAGTAAATAAAGAAATGGAGAACTGTAGTGAGAGAATACACTTACCATGTCGGGCAAAGCGGACATGCACCTGTTTGGCATGTAAATTCAACATGACCAACAATGCAAGGAAGTGACAATGTCACACGTAGTCACAAGGAGTGGCCATTTGTAATCACCCCACTACACATGTGACTCAACTTTTTTGAATATGATCAGAGTGTTTTGAAGTGTGACTGTTGGATAGTGCAGTTGATTTCTTGCAGTTTTATGTGTTTTGGGATTTTTGACATTGGACCTATAATTTCTTTCTGGATTTTGTGATTTTTTTTGTTTTAAATTTAAGCTATCATATTAACTTTATAACAAGAACAGAGGGTGTAGCTTAGGGCAAACTTGGCTAACAAAGTCCATCCCTCTTCAGACTGATTTTGAGTTAAGTTTTCCTTCTTCTAGACTGGTTGCATACAAGTCTCACAGGATACAAATCACATAATTTTTCATGTTCTAATGAAAGTTCAGCACATTATCAACCATTTTGCATTTAAAAGCATAATGAAAAAAATTATGGTAATGGATAACAATGCACAACTTTGTATAAATACTTATATTAATGAACAACATATAGTTTTGTATTACTTGCACCCTTGAAGATGATCTTGGAAAAAGACCGAAGGTACTTGGGAAATGAAAATAAAAGAAATTTAAACATATAATAGCACATTTCTCTCATCCTTTAACAGTAATTCATGGAAGGTTATTTGTGAGTATGAACAGATTTTGTTAAAAATTAGCAGACAATGTCTGTAATTTATTCAATCAGACATGCCTAAGAGAGAAATTGCTGACTAAATATATATATATATATATATATATATATATATATATATATATATATATATATATATATATGTGTGAGAGACACACAGTGGTGTAATGGATTGTGGAATTGGAGATCGGAGTTTGAATTCCAGTTGAAACCCGCTACATTCACTTATGTACTAATACCCTTGGGAAAGGGATGAATCAATCTCTTCTCCCCCTCCCCCACTTCCGCCAGGATTCTATAGCTGTGAATGGTAACTGTTCTAAGAATTCAAAACCTGTGGATGGTCATTTGAGGACCTTGTGTCATACTGCGCACTAGTTCTATGTATTTGTCTCTTCCAAAAAGTGTGGTTGGTCCTGCACAAGCCTTCACCACTAGAATCAAATGATATGTGCAAGTAGCCTAGCTGTTTGTTGGTTCTAAGAACTGAACCACTTGACTCTCATATGTTGAAAACCGAGTGGAGAGTCCAGCATATATATATATATATATATATGACAAAAGGAAAACGCATCTTAGCTAACGCGTTTCATCCTCTTAGTGATTCAAGGCAAAATGCAAGGATTTTTATTTTGCAACAAGTATTTATATATCAGAGCAAAAATGTTATTGGTTTTTCAAAATATTTAATTTAAGATCATTCCTAAGTATTCATCAGGTTAGCTGAAAAGTCAACTATGGAAGATGTGAAGTGACACAATTCAATGTCTAATAATGAAAGTGAGTAAATGATGTTCTTGATATTTTACTTTTTTTTTAATGCAAATTAGTATTAATTTTTTTTAGTTTGGGATTAATTTTAAATAATACACACACAAACACACATTAGAGATAGATATTAAAGAAAAAAAAAACCGTTGATAGAACCAACAGACAACTTGCCAAAACCTAAAACGCTTATCCAGATAAAGTCTTGAACAAAAACAACAATACTGAAAAAAAGAAAAAGGCCTAGAGGCAAACCTACCTACTTAGTAAAGTGCTTGAAGCTTAGACAAATCAAAAAAACACTTAACAACATTAAATCTTATGAAAGGATGGTGCTAGTCATAACCAGAGTTTGTGGCTCACACAATCCAGATTACTTGAAGGCCTGATTTTATATATATATATATATATATATAAAATGTAATCAAAGACAACACTGATTTTGTTGTACTCTTGCATATGCTTCCTCAAACTTTATTTAGTTATCTTTTCCATTTATAAAACTGGGGCTGACAAATATCAATGCAACATATTGCTGTGGTCCGGGGGGGTGGGGGTCTAGAGGTGGAGGGTATACACTTACCAAGGCATTGATCGACAGCTTGTCTCTTCTTGGTTTTGTTCTCCTGTACAGCAACGTTGTAGGCAGCTGTCATCTTCACAAACCAGGCAGCCTTAATCATGGGGATGCTAAAATCACATAGTGTTGAGAAAATTTCTTCTTTCTTATTAAATATAGGTACCTATGGGAAAAAAAAAAAATCAAAGTAAAACCTGTAAACATTTTTAAAGTGCACTGGGAAGACATTGAGTTCTACTTGCATTCTATCCTCTTGGAATTATTTTTTATATATATATATATATATATATATATATATATATATATATATATTGCTCTGTTACTTATCAAGGAGCTCAAGGTAAATAGCAGGGGCACTGGACCACATGTGACAGAAATATTCTAAGCATGGACGAATGGTAGACATAGATATGTAAGATAGATACTGGAGAGAAAGATTTTCTCGCACAACAGTGAACTAATTTTCTTAGCAGGTGACCGAGCAATGGATTCAATATAGTCTTTCCACTTCACATCAGCTGTAAACATTAGCCAGAGAAGGTGCAGGGAGTCATTTTCCTGGAGGTTAGCATCAGCCATGGTGATGGAACGCAAAGAGGGGGTCTCTCAGATGATTAATGGAGAACAGTTTAGTTAAAAGTGTTAAAATTGACAAGCCATCTTTTTCCCCAATTAACAATGGTATTGAGGTCATTTTGGACATCAGCTACTATTTTGTTTTTGTTGGACTGATCAGCCTTACTATCAAGGAGTGACGTAGTTAAAATAATAGCAGTATCAAAAAAAAAAAAAAAAAAAAAAAACCGTCCTTTTGAAAAAAATTTTTCTTGCAAGCAAGAAGGTTTAAGTTTACCAAAAAGTTTACTCCCATGAAGTTTATTTTTAGTCATACAAAGGTTGAGAAACGTTTCTATCATCGTGAAGAACTGAAGTTGAAAGAAGAAAGTGGTAAACACTAACAAAAAGGTTTTATTGAGATACCATTAAATTTCTATTAGTTGCTTTAACTACAGTAAAAAGGAGGTTAATTCACTGACCTTCTTCACAAGTAAAGACAGAGGCTTGCTCCCGGCTAGGTCTTTGAACCAGGCTTCCATTGCATTCCTGGTCCGTGCTGTTACCTAGAAAGAATAGAAACAGTGTTTGAGATGAAAGACTTTGTAGACGAAGAGGTTAGAAAGAAATAAGACATTTACATGAAAAATACTGAGTTTTTGATAACAATGAAAGTTGAAGGACGACTTCATTTATACAGATTACTTAGGAATTAAAATATTAGGAAGTAATCTTAAAAGCACATAGATTCTCTTGCATTGTTACAACTTGCCGTTTTCCGTCTACTAATAACTGCTTTGGTACTGGGAATATTTCTTTGATATTATATACCCTAGTCTCCTCATAGAGACGAGATGTGACACAAGGTAGAGTTTAAGGTGGGGAACCCAAGTGTGTACACTTGAGCCAAAGACAAAAATTGCCTGTTGGTTGCACTGGCACCAGTATGACTACCAATCCCCTCTCTCTAGTGCAATGAGGAGGTGCAGCACCAGGTAGCTGTTCTCTGGGACCTGGCACCTCACAGTTTTTATTTTTCTCAGCTGCATCTTTGTCTGCAGACAGAGCCACAACTAAGTCACACTCTGCCCGATGATGACGATGTTACTGAAAAATGAGAACGTTTATTTTATTATAGTGGATGGTTACACAAGAGAGGGGAGATGAGATGTGCTTATTTGACTACTGCACAATAAAAGGGAGGCTTAAAGACATTGATTTAATGGGAACAGCACAATGAAAAAAAAATCAACCTTTATCTACCAAGCAAGCCAAGCCTTTGAATACATTTAAATAAAGCAAAGGGTATGACTATAGACAAGTAGCGATGCCAACAAATAATCTTGAATTATCATAAATTATAATGGTTACAATTAATAATCAATATCTGTCTATATTTCTGAGATGAGGCATTATGTACATTATTTACATTATTTGGACTATTGTCCCCATCTTTGTTGCCATATTTATTACAACATTTTGACCATTGTATGCTCTGGCTTTCTTCAGGTGGTTGGAATGTAGAACTGAAGGAAACATAGCAGAGTGGATAAAGGCGTTAGTTAGATCCAGTGACAGGACCCACTGTGAGTTCAATACCAGGTTAAGGCAATAACTGATAACTGACATCCATTAAACATGGCACGTGGAACTAGAAGAGTCTACCCCAGTGAGCGAAATAAAGGGTTCAGTTCGACATTCCAACCACCTGAAGAAAGCCGGAGTGTACAACGGCCGAAACGTTGTAATAAATATGAGGACAATAGTGTGAATAATGTAAATAATGTAATAATCCATAATCATTGTCTTACAAAAAAAAAAAAAAAAAAAAAAAAAAAAAAAAAAAGGAAAAAAAAAAAAAAAAAAAAAAGTAAAAGGCAAATTGTCATGTTGGATTCTGTTTTTATCTGTGTTGAATGTTACACTGGTAAGTAAAGTCCTCATTTGCTTCAAGAGTTCATGGTGAAGCTGAGGTTTCTTCCAATAGTTGTAAAGAATCCTTTCCCTTACAGGGAGTTGCATAATCTGCTCTTTCCATAACTGTTTGTGCTCTCCTGGGACTGACTGACATCTTGATTGATAGACCTTAAGTCTTGTGAAATTAAGTTTTAAACTCTGACATCTGCATAGGAATATCAGGTGGTTTTTAATGCAAATTGTGATAGACAATAAAAAGAACAATTTGCCAGGTACTTACAGGTCTGAAGTTGTCTTTGATATTCAACTGTTGTTTTTTCTTCCCTGTATCCTGGAATGTGTTGAACTCTATTTTCTTTGTCATCATGGAACTGAAACATGTTCCAACCTGAGAAATAGAGAAAATATGAAATATGTAAGTCAAGTAAAAAAAAGAAAAAAAAAGAAAATGTTTTTGTAATGATCTTGCTTATCTCCCCTTTTCTTATTTTGTGGTGGTTTTATTTATTTTCTTATTTCTTTTAACATGGAATTGTTTGCATTGTACTTATAGCCCAGCTTTGCACAATTACAAAATACAAAGGACCACACTGATTGCAGAAAATTAACCACAGACCACAAGTATAAGTTTTTTAAATTACTATGAGCAAAAAAAAAAAAAAAAATTCTGTTTTCTTTTTTTATGGAGAGTTAAAAGGATTAATTACACAGAAAGACAGTGAAATATTGGTTGAATAAAGTCATGCTTCCACAAAACTGAATTTTTCGCATGTGATCAACCATTGAATTCTAATGATTACAAAAAATTTACTATTGAAAACTCCCTGCAGGCCACATTGGGTAGGCCTGTGAGCTGTATTTTGTGTAAGTGTGTCATAGACTTTATTGCTGAATTTTTTGTGGGGGTATAAAACCCAGGAATAAGCTTGCGTTTGCTTCAGTTTTCAATCAGTTAACATTTGGCTGGGGTATGGTGATGCATGCCCTAGACTTTGGTTTAAATGTGGTCTAAAAGTAGTTACCAGGCTTAGCTGTTCTGCTCCTTTTATGCAAGTAAAATGTTGTCTCCATTGTTCTGGGAGCAAAAGTTAAGGGAAAAAAAAAAACTCACCCCTTCTATCTTTCTGAAATTGTTAGTAACAGATTTTAATCAACTTTCCAAATAGAAATAGTGCAACCAAAATTTGTTAAGGCAAGAGAGATTTCTTTGATATCTACAAAAAATTGGTTCTCAAGATGAAAAGAGTAGAATTCTATGTGCATCATGCTGCACAGACATGCAACAACAGCCAAGGTGGTTGCTTAATGTTTAAAGTGAAAACAAATATGATGAGATTTTGGAAAATTAAACATTTCATGACAGGGGTGGTGAAGTGGTTTCTATGCTTACTATTGAAGCCAGTAATGAAACGTTTGTTACAATCTACTCCTTAAAAGTTTTGTTGATGGCAAAGATTGCTTAACCTAATACAGTGAATCTTATATCTGACCCAATTTTTGAGGTTGTGTTAAAAGAACGACAGATTCTTATATAAATGTGATAAGCAGGGCTGTAGAATCAGAGCTAATAAAATGGTCACTGGAGTTTGATTTGGTAAAAATATGCTATATGTTATAAAGTAGTTTTATTTTCATTCTTATACTTATTTTCAAAGATATATATATATATATATATATATATATATATATATAATATATATAAAAAAAAAAAATATACATTACAACATTTTTATTTTTGCTATTACTTCTATATCCTTTCTAAGATTGTGTCTAATTCTGTTAGAAAATATTGAAGCATGAATAGGTATGATATAAAAACTACAATATTCTTTGATATAAACCAGTTATAATGATTGAGTTCTACTCAAGTTGTGAGGTTTGTAAGCTATAATCATTTAATTACATAATGAGGAATCAGAGTCAGAGGTGCCAAAAATAGAGTCAAAGGTTTTGTGTTCCGACTCCACAGCCCTGGTGGTAAATACAAATTTTGGATTTCAATTTACTTCTTATCTTGGCTCTATTCAATGTCAAATAGATATTTAGTCATTTTGATAGAATACAAATTGCATTTTTCTTTTTGGTCTGATCAGCAGAAAAGTTTATTTGAAAAAAATGTAAACCTTTTTTCTTATGCTGCTGTTGTTAAAAATCAAGTCATTAACTTTAGATTTGTAATGTGCTTACCACAAGAAAAAAAAAAATACTATGATAAAAAATAAATATATTTAATAGAATATAATTGAATTTACATGCATTTTATTTGTTTTTGATCTGGATTCTGGATATTTAGATTCAATTGAATTTCACTTATTTCATATTTTCTCAGATAATCAAGTCCTATTATAGTAAAACAATTTTTTCTGAAAAGTCAAAGTCTCATCAGTACATCGGTGATTATGACTCTCTACGAAATGGAAAAATCTTCAAATATTTATTCCTCTTGTAATGAAGCTTTTACTCTGTTCTCATCTTAGGATTAAATCTTTAATTTTGGTTTAGATTTGAGAAATGAAAATGGAAAAGAAATTGGAATTCAACTTACTTTTGATATTAGGCCTACCTTATCTTGGCTGATTGCACGACAAGCAGACCCATACTGGAAGAAAAAAAATTAAATAACAATAAATATTGTATGTGAAGAGAAGTTGGAAAACTGAAAGACAATGCCCCTCCCCACCAGTTGTGTAACATACACACATACATAGAAACAGGTAATGCCTGATGATCTATCTACACTATATTAGATTTTCTTATGCAAGTCAATGTTTTTCACAATAAAATTCATATGAATCAACTGGTGTTATTTTCAAGATACACTTATAGAAATAATATACAATATGAATTTCAACAACAATATTTATAATAACTTATTTAGTGATGCAAGATTTTATTAAACATTTCACAGGTTGTATATCATATCGGAAATTTTGGATAGATAAGATCAATACTGATATGGAATTTTAGATACATAAAGATAGTCAGGGTTCATAAAAAGATAATGTAAAAAGAGAAACAAGGTATTATAAAGTTATTGAGCAATGGGAAGACAACTTTGGAAATTGACAAAAAGAAATTGGACAATAATCATGAAAGAAATTGAAAATTGAATTGGAAAGATATAAGGAAGAAAAATATCTGACTGAGAATTTTGTAAAAAGAGAAATGAGAAAAAATTAAAAGAAAAGTGGATTGACTCTCAAAGAAATATTTGAAGATGATGACATTGTGAATGCAAACAGAGAGAGAAAAAAAAAAGATTATTAAGAACACTAACTAAAAACATGAAAGTCAACAAACTACCAAAACTTCAAGCAAACATGACTAAGAGAAATGTGTACACTAAGTGCAGAAATACATAAACACTGATTTCTCAATTGTAATTTTTAGTGATGAATGTAGAGCTATATTGGATGGGCCTGATGTCTGAGTTAGAAGTTAAGTCCTTCAGAGAAATACTCAATCAACACAACCTTGAAGATAACAAAAGTGGAGTAATGTGGTACAGTTTACAATCAAGAAACTTTAACCTTTAGCACTCTGCATTATTAATATTACTTCCCTGTCCAATATATTCTTTTTTAAGGTCTCTAACTGCAGTATCCTTATCGTTAATTTTCACACAAAGGTGTATAGCAGGACATGGCAACACAACTATGAAATTCAAAGAAATTCAAATTTAGGGATCAGAGTCACCCTCAGTGGTAGGATAAACTTTTTGCATCACAAATGAAGTCACATACAGTGACAAAGGTTAAGCAGAGATTATATTCATGCAAAACAATAGACTTTCATATTCTACAAAGATGGCTATTGCCCACCTTGCCAAAGAAAGAAAGATTCTCCAAATTTGAATTTTGTAGTATTGTATATAAATGATGTACTGCTGTAAAAGCAGTACATCACAGCAAATGCCAGTTGAGCAACCATTTGTTGGACAGACGGTGTCTATTCCAGAGAGTAATCATAACAATATGGCATCATTGATAAGAGCTCTAACCATGTTGGATGAACTAGAGTAGATAGAAACATGGATTAGATGTTTCACACCATTGGATAAAGAAACTGAAAGACAAAAAGCCTCTGGAAGGGAATAAAGAAATTACTGTTTTATTTTTGGCTTTGGCAGGATGTGAAGCCATAATGAAAATACCCATTATGATGTACCTGTAAATACTGGAAGACTCAATGTATGAAGAAATTTCAACCATTATAAAAATAAACATGCGACCAAGAGAAAAAAAAAAAAAGAAGGTTATTGCAGAAAGAACAAAATTTCTGGAAAATTTTGAGAACCTAAATAAAACTATAATGCAATATTTGCACAGATTGAAAGAAGAATCAAGATTGTGAATCTAAAAAAACTGAGTTTGAGAGAAATGTCTATAGAAGATGAATTGATCCTGCTAAGACCAACTGAACTGACATAAGATCTTATAATGGCTACAAGCAAATGATATGAATTTTGAAGCAAGTGTAGAATTCTTGCAGCAATTAGAATTAAAAAATTTAATAATTCTAAACACATTGTGGAAGCATACAACATAACTGAAATCCTAATTAAGTGCAAATGTCCAGCTCAAGAAAAATTATGCTTAAACTGTTAACACAAAAAAAAAAAAAAAAAAAAAAAATCATTTCCAATCTGTGTGCAGATACAAAAAAGAGAATAGAAAGGATAGAAAATATAAACTCTCATACTGAAAATACAAAAGTATATTTGATAAGAACACCTGAAAAAAGTAGAGTGATAGTAAAATTGAATGGTATAACTTTTCCCATGCAGGTTGACACAGGAAGCAAAGTTACTTTGATTCCAAGGAATTTCTAGAAAAAAAAAATGGGTAAACCCAAATTAAGAAAAAGTAATCTTAATTTAAAATAATTTAATGGACCTGTCATCAAAACTATCATCATTTGAAGAAGCTTTTGAGAAAAAAAAAGAAAAAGAAAAAAAGATGGACTCCTGGGAATAGACATTTTAAAATTGGATACAGCAAAGTTAATAAACAGTATTAAGTCAGAAGAATCTGATATAGGACTACTGAAAGGATATAAAGCGAATATTTGTCTACAAGAAAATAGTCACTGGATCTATTTTGAATCTCAAAAAAAAAAAATCTTTATTCACGTTCTGTCCATAGTAGTTGCAAAACTAAAGAAAATGGTAGAATAAGGCATATTGGAGAAAGTTACCCAAGGTGATAGCAATTGGGCTTCACCAATTGTTATGATACAAAAGCCCAATGGTGATTTGAGGATATATGGTAGGTGTGAATCATCAGATATGCTTTGATGCATTCCCCTTAGCTAACATAAAAACAGCAAGTCATAAATTAGCAGGAATTAAATACTTTACCATTGTTTTCATTTACCGAATTCAAATTTCAGTTATCTCCCCCTTAATTACATGACTAAGACAAAATTATTAATAAAAACATACTATGTATAAAACTTCCAAGCAAAATTAACTGATAACTTTTTTCTTTTTTTTTAAACGAAAAATATTTTTTTTACATTCAGATTAATGTTCTCATCTTTGTTGTTGTTATCATGTTTCAGTTGTTATCCTCTGACCATCTTCAGGTGTCTGTCAATCAAAGTAATTTTGAACTGAACCCTTTATTTAATCTATGGGAGTAGATTGTTCTCATTTCTTGTCCCATGGAACATTAGCCTTGCAGATTAAAGTACTAGCTCATGAACTGGGTGACATAGTAATTCTAAGTTCAATCCATGATCCTTGGTAGTATAGACTTACACTCAGTAGTAAAAGAGTAAGCAATAACTGAGCAGTATTAAAAAAGAAAAAGATATCCCTAGATTGATAACAAAAGGGTTCAGTTTGAAATTCCTTGAGGATTACCTGGATTGTCCACCATCTGAAAGAAAGGTCAAAGGCACAATAGCTGAAACAATGTGATAACAACATAGATGAGGACTTTAATCTGAAAACAGTGATAACTCCTCATCCCAGAAATGAGAAATTTATTTACTGAAAAAGTAGTTTGAACAAAGTAACTATAAACAATTTTTTTTTTCTATCCTCTGCCAGCCGCAATGATGGAGAAAGCATTACCTCAAACCATCGCCAGTGGGACATGCTGCAAGAGCCACTCTGTTTCGCGAGGCTTGTCCCTTAATCAAGACTTAATCGCACCGATCCTCCGAAGGAATGTCATTGAACGAGGGCCAATAACCCCAGAAGTCTCCATTCAGACAGAAAGAATATTTTATTTTGTAAAATACTTGAAAATGAAAGATTAGATAAAATTGTAACAAGGACTGTCACTAATTAATATTCCCTTTATTAAAAAAAAAAAAAAAAAAAAAAAAAGAAAAAGAATAAATGCACCCTGGAATTGTCACAAGTCCTATAAATATAAACATCATTTTATATCCTGAGTGAAATGAGAGATTAAAAGATGCAGATTTCAAATAGGTACTTTAGGTTTCTATCATCATGATGCATTAATGCTTCGGATTCTGATCTTTTTGACTATCAGAGGTAATAAATTAAATGAAGACAATATTCAGTGAAACTTATCTTGTAAGTAATCCAAGATGAATCAACCCTTACATCAGTTAGAAATAATAAATATTGTAGATATTATCCCAGGTTCACTGGAGTGGATATTATCCCTCCACCCTGCTGGATGTAGATATGAAAAAAATAATTCACAGATATACTTACCTCATCTGTGATTGTGCAATTATTGTTGAAACCGAGTTTGACATTAGGGGTAGACAACTCATCCTGAAAAGAAAGGAAAAAATATATACAAAAATTGTTTCAGAAAAGAGAAAAAAATAATTGGCAAAAACAAAATTTATTTGGCACTGAACCAATTATACAGTAAGAAAGACCAAATTAAAATGGTACATGAGTCACTGTCTTATTTTATTTTTTAAATTCGATTTTGTCATTATTCCAAGAATTATTGTAAAATTTTCATTTTTGCTGTTTTTAATCATTAGGATTTGACCGATATATTCTTTGGCTTTCCTTAACATGAACAACTTGCAGAATAATGAAAATAATTTCAGACAACATTGAATTTCTCTTATTTACACTATTTACATATCCATCTTGTACATTTATAAATCTATCATTTACCCATGCACTGAATATTGCTGCCATATCGGGTTTGGTGCTCCTGAGAATCTTGAGATTCTTGACAAAATTCAAAGAAGGGTCTATAATGTAATTGATCCTTCCCTCTGTTTATTCTACAAATATTTTTATGGTAATTGTTCTGGTGAGCTTTCCTCCTTGGTACCACAACTGCATGAGTTTAAGCATTGCTACTAGGCTGGCAATTAGGTCTCACCATTCTTATTGTTGAACTAGCGACATACAAACATATGTTCTATTCTAATTGTTTCTTTTCTCACATTTTTTTGCCTGCGAAACGCCATTTTGATTTCTTGCTTCCCTATCACCTACAATCTTCAAAAATGTAAATCTGATGCAAATCGCTATTTTCTGTCTTTCTGAATCCTGTTCTTTTATTGTCTTTTCTCCTCACTAAGTCTTCTCATTTTCTTTCACACCAAGTAAACTCTTGTGTCATAGGGACTGCTTTGCTTGGGATGAAATAGTTAATAAAAAAATAAGAATAATAACTCCTCATTTCAAAATTTCAGACAATATGAATTTATCTTGTTAACAAAGAAAATAAATACAAGTAGGAATAGACAAATTATTGGCACATAATGAATGCAGATAACTATAGCTGTCATTTTCTCTCTCTCTCTCACACACACACTGATGGTAAATAAAATTGCGACATCCTTAATAGTGATGAAGTAACACTATCAGTACACCGTTTGTGTTTGATGTCTAGACAAAAGTGCATGACACAATAATGTTTAGTGTGGTGAAAAAGTCTAGTGTAAGCAAGTGTTGTGCTATGGAGATGCACATATTTACCCCTTTTATTCATTTAGAGCAGTTTGAGAGGGTGGAATTTTAAGCCTGTGAGAGGCTGGGTGGGAGGTCATTTTGGAGAATAGCAGCATGTCACTTGTGATGTGTTGACAATGCTTCAGTGTTGGCTTCAGTTGTCAAATTAGCATGCAAGTTTCCAGACAGATTCCCACTTTTGTCACAACACCATCGTTGCATGCCTCCAGTGAGATTGCCAGAGAATCACTCGGTGGGGAATTGAATGGCGCTATGTTGCGTTTAGTGACAACAACTGGTTCTCTGTTTCTGTGCTAGTGATGTATGTTTGTGTGTGAGATGTAGACCTTGTAGTGAAAGTAATAATCAGTCCCTCTTCCATCATTCCATGCTTATCGTATGCAAGCTGATGGAAGAGAGATATTTCCAGAATGCATCTGCCCACAATACACAAGCTCAATCCCTGGGATGATGTGCTGTAAGTTACAAGTCTTGTGTTTGTGAAGAGAATAGTTTTATATACATGCAGAACATTCCTGCAACAGGTAGACATTGTGATGCTTGCAAGTGAGATAATGCCTGCTTGGCAACATGGCTGACAACTTCCCTGGATAATATGATAGGATGTCTTGTTGAATTAACCCACCTACATCTCTTGCTGTATGGCATCAACAGGTGCAAGAACCAAGGAATAGTCAAACGCAGGATGATATTTGCTACCTGTACATTCAAGTTATAAACCCTTGGAAAAGAGCTCATAATAATACTATTTTAAATACACGTGGTATCGTTATTTTAGTTTAATTTCAAAGAATTTAGAGAGAAGTCTTTGTGAATCATCAGAGAAGTTTATGAGTTTCTTAAGTAAGAACTAGAGTAGTTTTTTTTCTTTTTCTTTTTGATATTTTGTAAAACGAGTCGTTAAAAAAGTGCCCACAATTGGATGAACTGGAAAGAAGACAGTCAATCCATTAGAGAAATAAACAGAAAGACAAATTGGTAAAGCTGGTTTTCAAATAAGACAATTAAACATGAAAGAAAATACTGTGGATTTTTGGTGTGAAGTTGGTTAAAAAAAAGTTGAATTTTGGTGAGAGAAAGAATGAAATTTCTTACATTTACTTAATGTGAAGAACTAAAATGCAAAAATGACACCTCAGAGAAGATCAAAGTTTACTTTATCAATTAGAAACAATAGCTTAATTGAAATAAACTCTGAAAAATACAAAATAGAAAAGAATGAAAAAAAAAATCTTTAGAGCACAAGCAAAAGTGAACCCTTAAATTTTCTATCTTTCGTGATAAACCAAAAATACAATCAAAACAAGAAAACTTAAAGGTAGGTAACTCTTATATGGCTAAAGTTTAGCAAAAAATCACAAGTATGAGGCACTCAGTAAACATCTAACCCACTCCTAATGATATAAAAATGCAGATCATTACACTTGGATGTAGTGCACCATTATCCAATATAACTATACTTAAAACTACAGCTCAGACAAGTGGGGTATGGCGCTTCCTAATAATGTACAGAGGAATATTTGAAATGACTTTTTTATCACCAATTTACTTGCATGCTTGTAAAACCTGCAATACCCAACTACACAAGCATCTACTCTTTCAAAACGTAATTATTCCTTTCTTGTTATATATCCTTGAAATGCCAAAAAAGTTACAAAGCATAATTAACAAAGTTTGGATTTTAAAGATTGTAGACTGATCACTGTAGATATGGACCGTGGAAGTATTATCCATTATATCAAAACTAGCTGACTGTATGAGCCATGGACCCTACCAACCATAACTCCTCTCACAAAAGTGTTAACTATGTGGCTCTACGAGGAAAGCAAATTTACTTGACCATATATGGAAAGCATTGATATTCCAATGACATTCCTTCTCAAGCATTTCCAAGACTCAAAAGAAATGAAAATTGAAAGGAATTTATCTTCAGTAAGACAAGTATGACACAAGGTTATATTTCTGGAAGATTCAATGATGATCAAATATCCTGGAAAAAAACAAAGTATATTCCATTATATTATTATTTTGTTTATTCCTCTGTTATTTAGAACATGCATTATACCCTGTCCTTATCTCATGGACTATTCTGTTTTATAATTGCAAGGAAAAACTGAAGGAAAAGATACATCATGTTTGGTTTTAGTGAGAAAAACAAAGCTTACATGTAAGAAAGAAAGAAAAGGAAACTAAAGGAAACAATAACACTCATGTGTTTAATGTCTGCTTCAGTGAAATGAAAAATGTTAAATTCAAATATTTAATGATGCAATAAAAGAATTTCCACAAGTATTTTATAGTCATGGAACATGTAAGAAGCTTATTCAATCATTAATGTAAGAGTTATGTAAACAGCAACAGCAAAAAGATTAGGTTTAAGGCTAGAAATTCTAGACACAGGATTGGCTAATGGGACAAAATGCATTGGTTTGTGAATTTGGCAACATAGTAAATTTGAGTTCAATCTCTGGGTTAGGCAGTACAGACTTAAACTCAGTGGAAACAAGGTAAGCAATAACTGAACAGTACTATACGAGATATTTTTAGACATAGACATCAGAATGAGAACAATCTACCCTGTATTATTATACGAAGGGTTCAGTTCAAAATATTCCTGAAGGTTACCTAGGTAGACAAACAGCTGAAGGCACAATGGCCAAAATCTTGTGATGATAATTACAACAAAAATGAGGGTAATAATCTGAATGTAATAACTCTTCTTCCTAGAAATTTCTGTCTGAATTTCTAAGAAATTCAGACAGAAAGTGAGAATTATGATTCATCAGAAAATTAAAATTGGAAACTGTGAAATTTTCACAATTACAGTTAGCCATTTCCCAGGATGAATAGCAAAGCACACTGACCTTTCTGGCCAGTCTAGATGAAAAACAATTCTGAATTTGAAAACTGTAGCACATACTATGCAGTCATCGGCAAGATCATGTACTTCACAATGACTATAATCTTGACTATGCTCATGTATTGCTATTATTATTATTACTACTACTACTACAACTATTACTAGTTATAATGAATCAAACTAACTAAAACAAAATTTTTAGTATGCAACTGTTGATACCAACCTATGGTGATGTAATGCTTCTAATAACCCCCAAAATACATTTGCTTAACTGCCAGAAGCCACCTTACTATCCACAAGTTCCTTAATGACTAAAGTCAAATAACAAAGTTGGAATACATTTGCTATAACCAGCATTCAGCCACTGACAACTATTTTGTCCGGGGGGGTAATTAACAGAGCTAAGCAAAGAAAAATGTATGGCAGAGAAGAATAATTTCTCATAAGGAATTTTGTCTTTTGTTAAATTGTTTTAAAAATTATGAAAAAAATGTTTTTTTTAAGATAAATTTCTAAACACAACTTAAAAAAAAAACTAAATAAATGAAATGTATTTTCTGATATTGCAAAAAATTTTTTTTTAGCTTCTATCTGTAAATTGCAAAATACACTGGAGTTTACTTGATGCTGATAAGGATTTTAAAAGAATTTTTTTTTTTTACTACCTACCAATAGAAATACAAAAAAGTGTATAGGAAAAAATTAGAGAGAGAAAGCAACAAATCCATGGGAAAATAAAAAGAAATATTTACTTGGCTGGGGGGTGGGGTTAATGAAAAACTTAATGACTCACTGGATTGTGCTCAGGAAAATTTTTTTTTTTTTTTTTTTAACAATGGCATAAAAAAAAAAACTTATGCTTCTCTTTTTACTTTCAATTTTCATTTCTAACTTTTTTTTCTTTTCCTTTTTGTCTTAAACAAAAATACATATAATCCTCTTTTTAACAGAAAAAAAAAAAACAGAGAAAAGAAAAAGGGAGGAAAAGAATCGAATAATTTTTATTTTAGCTGTGAAAGATTTTTTGTGAATTGTTAAAAAAAAAAAAAAAAAAAGATGCTAGCGATTCTACAAGAAATGAGCAAGTGTATGTTGGACAATGTTGGTTTAAAAAAAGAACATCTATCCTTAGTTTGATTGTAACTTTCATTTTAAACGACATACCCCAAAATCGAAATAAAACACTTTTTTTTATATCGGGCTTTGAATAACAAAAACAAAAACAAAAAAATTGTTGTTTGCAAAAAACTGAATGTCGACCAAGAACTGGATTTGTTAACAGTAACTAATCTTAGTTTTTGATAAAAATAATTTTCATTTCAATAGATTTTTTATTTTTTTTAAATAAATCAACAAAACTAAAGTTAATAAACAAAAGTGATTTTTGTAATTTTAGGAGGCCACAAATATTGAATACATTCCTTTTTTAAAAAATCAATCACCGTTTTTTTCGAAAAATAAACAATTTAAGTTAAACAAAAACATTTTTTCAAAGTAATCATTAGCAAAATCTTTTCAAAATGCAAAGATAAAAATTATTATTAATAAGGACAAGTTGCATTGAAATTAACAAAAAAGAAGGTCAAGAAAAAGAAAAACCTATAGTTCTGTTGTCTTCAATTTCTTAAATAACAATAAAAAGATAAATATTATTGCGAAATACACTTGCCAATCCAATATTGAAACTAATTCGTAAATTAATAATTTAAAAAATATGATTTAAATTTTTTTAACCTAAACAGGTGGAAAAAAAAAACAAACAAAAAATCAAACAATGGAATCCAATGGACGAGTCTTTAACTAAAACCAGGTTTTAAAAATTGTAAATATATTTTATTATTGTAGCTAAGTAATCAAAAAGTGAAAAGTTTAAATTTATAGAATTCAAGGGACATGAGAATTGGTTGGAAATCAATAACCAATTCGATCTCTTTTCCTGATTTGTTACGTAGACAAAAAGGTAAAACAAAAACAAAAAAAACATTATTTTTTTCTGTTAAAAAAAAAATCAAACAAAAAAGTCATTACAAGACTTATTTGTAACTTATTATTGTCAACTGACGTAGGTTTATGTATGTATATATATAAAACATTGTTACTTAAATGCAAAAAATGAAAAAACTCATCTTAGTCTTCTTAATGAAAATAGGTTGAAAAATTAGTCGATCAGAAACGACTACACATTTCTGATGACATAGATTTTTAACATACAAAACACGTGTTTTCTCTTGCTTTCCTTGTTAATCTTAATCAACACTTTAAATATATATATATATTTATCAATAAACATTTAAACAATAAAACCCAAAGATCGATAACTAAATTAACTTTCATTCAACATTAAAAAAAATTGAAAATTACGATAAAGTCAAAAAGCCATACAACGAATTTTTAAGACATCAATTTTTCTTTTATTCTTAAACTTGTTTTTATTTCGTAACTTAATCGAAAACTATTTTTAAAAACAAGATAGATTTTTAAAGATTTAAACAATATTTTTTTTTTTAATTTTAAAAATAAAATTACAATTAGAAACGTGATTTTAAAAACAAATTCCTTTTTGAATTCCGACATAAATAAATCCAAAGTCGAAAAAATAAAATAGAAATGATAGATGATTTTTTAAATGATTTTTTATGTTAAAAATAGAATTAAAATAAAAAAATATGGTGTTTTTTAAAGATAAATTAATTTTAAAAATATTAAAGATTTCAAAGTTGTAAGTCAATTTTTAATAATAGGAAGAAAAGAAATTATTACTTCACTAATTCAATAAAAATAAACAGTTATTGCTTTTATATCTAATAATTTGATAATTTTTTCGATTGTTTTTATTTTAAACAATTGAAGAAGCTGAAGAATTTGTAAAAACAAAACGTAAACCAAAAAAAAAAAAAAAGAAAAAAATGATCACCTCTAGAAAAAATAAAAATGCCACTGAATTTTTCTTTTGATAAAAAAAACATTCAATTTCTTTTTTGCTTAAGTTATAAACATCTACACGTCTATAAAAATATTTATAAACAATAATTTATTAAGTAAAAAAAAAAAAAAATGTCGATGTATTTATATTGAATTACGAAGATTAAAGGCTCTCAAAACTCGTGTAATTTCTCCGATTTAAATCTTTCCTCCTCCTACCCCGTCTGTTTCGACTCCTCCTACCGCAACTCCCATAGAGATCGGCGCTTACTGTGACAGAGAGAAAATGCCAAAACAAAGACGAATTATAGCGTCATATGTCGACGACTGAACCAGTTCAAGATCTCGACACCAGATTTCACAATGATCAGTAAAGATCGAAGTTTACCTCTTTTTGTTTGGGATCCTGAGGGTAAACATCCGGAGGACCTAGCCGGGGTCTCTTTAATGGGCGCTGCTCTTGTGATGGATAAGACGCCATTTCTTCTTTTTCTTCTCTTCTCGTTCTTGTTCTCGCGCCCGTGACGAGTTTTATAGACTTTGTTCCGATGTCGTCACTTCCGCCGCTTTAGTCCGTTTACAACCTGTACCTGTCCGGTTTAGAATATTTCTTCTCCAAAACGTCGGTGACAGCTTGTGTCAATTTGTTGGATGTGGGAAATCTTCTAAAGGTGGAAAATGTCCTAAAATAAAATAATTACTAATCATTAAAATATTATAAATACACACTCAAATTTAATTTCATTTATCATTTTCCCAACGTAACTTTAAAAAAATTGTAAAAATTAAAAAATGCAACTTTGTGCCTTTGTTTATTTCACCCCAAGAGAGAAAATAAAGCCACTGAGACGCGAGGGGGGTACTGAGTGTGATAAAAACAAAAAACAAAAAAAAACCCACTATTAACGAAAGTGATCAATAAAAAGAACAGGATTTGAATAGACGGAAGATAACGATTGACATTGCATTTAAATGTTTGTAGATCAAGGTTGACTGGAAAGCAAGAAGCCGGTGAGAGTTCCACAAACCAGAGAAGGAACTATTAGCCTAGTACTTACGGTTACATCTAGCCATTTTAACCGCAAAAAAAAAATAAAAAATGATCATATCTTACTGTGAATCTAGTACTGCCCTTAAATGAATAAAGTCTAAGTATCAAAGTGTAAAATATATATGCAGTGCGTTTAGCAAGATGTATATTTGACTAAATTCGACATTTTTCGATTGCTGAAATTAAAATTGAAGTGACATTGTATACACCACGCCCACAAAATGCTCAATAGCCATTGGATAGAAAATAAGCCATATTTTCTATAGGACAATTTATGCATCGCATGAGCCACATCAACTTTTCTGATGTTTACTTTGCCAAACCTGGTTTAGAAAAAAATCAGTGATTAGTTGATTTTTTACCAATAATATACTATAACACTCCTTTCAATATTTTTCCCGCTCTCGTCCCTGGAACCTATTCAGAAAGTACAAATAACACGAAAATCAAAGAAAAGAACAGTAGTAGAACAGTAAATCTCCAGAGCTCAACCACGTACGTGAATTCTCATTCTCACACACACAGACACAAAATTACAATTGCACTACGCTGTGAACTGTCTGTCCAAAAAGCCAAGTAACCAACTCAGAATTCTATCATTCTTTTGTACAACTTTCTCATACTTATACTCAGTTATCACATATTGCTGAACTCTGAACATTTTAAACAAGAAAGTTCTTTTAACACATATTTACAATCTCACATCAGTACAAGAGGAACTACTTCCTCTTTCTTAACTTTGTTTCACCAAACACAATTGTTGTACTCATTTGTTTTTAATACATGTTATTGTTGATTACTGAATAATCTCTTGTTATTCCTTCTTTGTGTTTCTTTGTAAAATTTAAATGTGATGTGCTAATCAAAAACGCAACCTTCACCAAAGCCTTCTTAACAATTTTATACCAAATCTTATTAGTACGTCACAACATCATTTACAGCGGTCAAACGGTTTGATTGGATCCGAGATTAAGAAGTTGGAGAAAATTCAGTCCAAGTTTTTTTTTTTCTATATTAAAATCCAAACAATAATAAATAAAATCAAGTAAACATGGGTATGTTGCGGGTGGTATATTGGCCTGCAAACAGATAGTGAATGGCGGAAGACAACAACAAACAAAACAAAGACTTGAGTAAAAAATATATTATCAAGTTTATTTTCGTTAAAGAAAATATGTCAACAAAAGTAAGGTTACAGTGCACTAGACAAAAAGTATCTCTGCATGCACAAGTGGAGGGGGAGAAGAGCGTTGTCCTGAGAAGGACAATTCTGTAGTCGCTCGAGGGCGTTGTCCTAAAAAGGACAGTTTATTGCGTATCGCTGCTGCCGGTAAAGGATGTCTGTAGCGGTGATCTATGATGAGCTAGAGATAATGACGGTTGTAAGGCTGTACCCGATCCCGCGGGCTGTGTAAATTTTGAATGAACTTTCACCCGTGTGTACGCACTCAGGTTCCCCACACTAAACACGACCTTGTGTCATATCTTGTCTACAGAATAACCGCGGAAGGATGGTTTGTAATTACTTGACTCCCCCACTAAGTCAGGTTGTGACACAAGGTCTGATTTTAACGAGGGGACACGAGTGTTTTCACTCAGGCCGTGGGTCATAGCTTGTCTAAGCTAGATCCCCCCCACCACACTGAGTCAGGTTGTGACACAAGGTCAGTTTTTAACGTGGGGACCAGAGTATTTTCACTCGGGCCGCTGGTCAAGGTGGTCTTAGCTTGTCCAAGCTGGTCAAAGCTGGTGTAAGATAATCATTGCTGATTTTGGCTTGTCATAGCTAGTCGAAGCTGGTCAGAGCAGGTACAAGCTAGTCGTAGCCGTGATACCACCAGCACAGGGACGGATCCCTGTAATCGCTAAGTATCAGAATGTGCATAAGTGGTATAAACATGTAATATTTGTTATTGTATTTGTAATATATATTATTGGGTGGTAACATCTGTTATTGAGTTGTAATATATATTATTGGGTTGTAATATGTGTTATTCGGTTGAAATAACTGTTATTGGGTTGTATTATATATATATTATATATTATATATATTATTGGGTTGTAATATCTGTTATTCGGTTGTAATATCTGTTATTGGTTTCAAATATATATTATTGGGTTGTAATATATGTTATTGGGTTGTAATATAAATTATTGGGTTGTAATATCTGTTATTGGGTTGTAATATCTGTTATTGGGTAGGAATATTTGTTATTCGGTTGTAATATATGTTATTGGTAGTAATATTTGTTATTCGGTTGTAATATATGTTATTGGGTGGTAAGATATATTATTGGGTTGTAATATCTGTTATTGAGTTGTAATATCTGTTATTGGGTTGTCATATATATTATTGGGGTATAAAACCTGTTATTCGGTTGTAATATTTGTTATTGGTTTCAAATATATATCATAGGGTTGTAATATCTGTTATTGGGCTGTAATATATATTATTGTGCTGTAATATCTGTTATTCGGTTGTAATATATATTATTGGGTTGCAATATCTGTTATTCGGTTGGAATATCTGTTATTGTGTTGTAATATATATTACTGTGATGTAATATCTGCTATTCGGTTGTATACCTGGTATTGGGTTGTATTATATATTATTGGGTTGTAATATCTGTTATTCGGTTGTAATATCTGTTACTGGGTTGTAATATATAATATTGGGTTGTAATATCCGTTATTCGGTTGTAACATATGTTATTGGGTTGTAATATATATTACTGGGTTGTAATATCTGTTATACGGTTGTAATATTTGGTATTGCTTGTAATATATATTACTGGGTTGTAATATCTGTTATTCGGTGGTAATATATATTATGGGTTTGTAATATCTGTTATTGTGTTGTAATATATATTATTGAGATGTAATATATGTTATTCGGTTGTAATAATTGTTATTGTTTTGTAATATATATTATTGAGTTGTAATATCTGTTATTAGTTTGTAATATCTGCTATTGAGTTGTAATATATATTATTGGTTTTTAATGTCTGTTATTGGGTTGTAATATATATTATTGGTTGTAATATCTGTTATTCAATTGTAATATCGGTTATTGTTTGTAATATATATAATTGGTTTGGAATATCTGTTATTCGTTTGTAATAACTGTTATTGGGTTGTAATAAATATCATTGCGTTGTAATATCTGTTATTGGGTTGTAATATCTGTCATTTGATAGTAATATATTTTATTGTGTTGTAATATCTGTATTTTCGTTTGAAAATTCTGTTATTGGGTTATAACATAAATTCTTGGTTTCTAATGACTGTTATTTGGTTGTAATATATATAATCTGTTATTGTTTTGTAATATATATTATTGTGTTGTAATATCTGTTATTCGGCTGTAATACTGTTATTTGTTTGTAATATATATCATTGGGGTGTAATATTTGTTATTCGGTTTTAGTATATATTATTTGGTTGTAATATCTGTTATTGGGTAGAAATATCTGTAATTGGATTGTAATATATATTATTGGTTTGTAATATCCATTATTCGGATGTAATCTATATTATTGTGTTGTAATATTTGTTATTCGGTTTCAATATTTATTATTTGGTTGTAATATCTGTTATTGGGCTGTAATATATATTAATGGGTTGTATTATCTGTTATTGGTTGTAATATATAATATGGTGTTGTAATATCTGTTATTGGGTTGCAATATATATTCTTGGTTTGTAATATCTGTTATTATATTTTAAGATATATTATTGGGTTGTAATATCGATTGAAATATCCTTTATTGGGTTGTAGTATATGTTATTGGATTGTAATATATATTATTGAGTTGTAATATCTGGTGTTTGTAATATTTTATTCGGTTGTAATATCTGCTATTCGGTTGTAATATATATTATTGGGTTGTAATATCTGTTATTCGGTGGTAATATATGTTATTGTGTTTTAATATATATTATTGGGATGTAATATCTGTTATTTAGTTCAATATTTGTTATTGGGTTGTAATATATATTATCGGGATGTAATATTGGTTATTCGGTCGTAATATATGTCATTGGGTTGCAATATATATTATTGGGTTGTAATATCTGTTATATGGTTGTAATATCTGATATTGGCTTGTAATATATATTATGGTTTGTAATATCTGTTATTCCGTTGTAATAACTGTTATTGTTTTGTAATATATATCATTGGTTTGTAATACCTGTTATTCGTTTGTAATATCTGTTATTGTATTGTAATATATATTATTGGGTTGTAATGTGTATTATTCCGTAGGAATTTCTTTTATTGGGTTGTCATATATATCCTTGGTTTGTAATATCTGTTATACGGTTGTAATGTATATTATTGGGTTGTAATATCTATTATTCGGTTGTAATATATATTAATTGGGTGTAATATCTGTTATTCGGTTTTAATTTATATTATCGTGTTGTAA